TATATATATAAAAAACATACAGACAATATGGATCACATTTATATGCTATCAATCATATAATAAACCCACAAATGTCCAACCCCAGAACTAGAAAATTATTAATAGCTTGCACTACTCTGGTGTTCCTCCCCATCTGCCTGTAGGAATTATTTCTTTTTCTAAAATAGCTTTCTTACATATATATAGTGAAGAATGTATTTTTGCTTATTTTTCAGCTACAAGACTGGTGTCACATTGTATATAGTCTGTATTACTTTTTTGTTTTTTTGAGACGGAATCTCACTCTGTCACCCAGGCTGGAGTACAGCAGCACAATCTCCACTCACTGCAACCTCCGCCTCCTGGATTCTGGATTCAAGGGATTCTCTCTTGCCTCAGCTTTTTGAGTAGCTGGGACTACAGGTGCCCAACTACACCAGGCTGCTGCTGTTTTTGTTTGTTTGTTTTTGTTTTTGTTTTTGTTTTGTTTTGAGGCCGAGTCTCGCTCTGTCGCCAGGCTGGAGTGCAGTGATGCAATCTTGGCTCACTGCAACCTCCGCCTCCCAGGTTCAGGCAATTCTCCCACCTCAGTCGCCCGAGTAGCTGGGACTACAGGTGCCCGCCACCACACCCAGCTAATTTTTGCATTTTTAGTAGAGACAGGGTTTCACCATGTTGGCCAGGATGGTCTTGATCTCTTGACCTTGTGATCCACCCACCTCTGCCGCCCAAAGTGCTGGGATTACAGGCGTGAACCACCACGCCCGGCTACTGTTATTACTTTTTATGCCTCCAGAATTTTTCTGTGTTGTTGCAGGTGTCTGTTGTGCCTTAATTTTCACTATTGTAGAGGATTCTATTATGTGCAATTGCACAGCCGTGTATGTATCTGTTCCCCTGTGGAGGGACATTTGGGTTGTGTCCAGTGTCTCTTGACCACCTACCTTGTGCAGTGCCCCCGATCCTCCTGTCATTAATCCACACTCTAGCTACATCCACAGACCCGTGACTTCACGAACCCCATCTTCTACTTCTGAGCTCCAGACCATATAAAAGGCATAACTGTGTTTATTGAGCACTTACTCTGAGCCAGAAACGATTCTCAACATTTTACATGTGGTAGCGCATTTAATTTTCACAGCAACACAAATGGGAGGTAATATTCTTATCGTCATTTTACAGATGAGAAGACCAAGGCCCAGAAGGGTTGAATATCTTGCTCAAGATCACACACCTTTTGCCACCCCCAATTCCAAGTCCCATAGGCAACTCAGACTCAGCACGTCCGTGATGTAACTTATCATCTTCCTCTCCAAGCCATTTCCGCACTTGTGTCCTACTCTCAGTGGGGACATCTCCAATCCCCAGGCCCAAGCTGGAAACTGGAAGCCTTTTCTGACTCCTCCCTCTCCCTCACCCACTCCATCCAAATGGAGCCTAAGTCCTGCACATTGTACTTCTCAGATATTGATCAATCCCATCTCTCGTCTCCACGTCCACAGTGCTGACCCATTATTAGGTGCCCGGCTGCTGCTCCTGGCTCATCACTTCCCGGCAGTCTTCGCAGGCCCGTCTCCACCATTTCCAGCATCCTACACACTGTGGCTCAGGTGTGCTTTCTAAACCTCACCTCACCATGTCCCCCACCTCCAGAACGAAGCCCAGCTTCCTCTGCCCATCCCCTCAAACTGTAAAGTGCAGCGCCCAGCCCCAAAAAAGACACCCCCCACCACCATACCTTGCTCTGTCTCCTCCTGGGAAGCCTCCTGGCCTTGACCCAGAGGCTGCATGTGAGTTTCCCCACCCCGAGCCCCACAGCCTCCAAGCCTCCCACTCTGCACGCACCTTCTTCCTTATAATTACCTGTTCCCCATTAAACTGCAACCCTCAAAGGCAGAGCACAGCACACCCACTGCACATCCCCAGTGTCCAGGCAGGGCCTGCACACAGTAGGTGCACAATAATTGTTGAAAGGCAAAATGCATGAGCAATGACAGGAACCATGAGTGATGCTGCTTTCTGAGCCCCAGGCAGCAGAGTGACTCCTGCCTGGCCCCAGGGTCAGCAGATCCTGGCCCCCCACCCCCACCCAACCTCTGCGGCTGCTTCCCTGGGGCTCTTGGGGCCCTATGAGGCTTCTTCCTGTGTCTTCATGTGTTCTAAGGATTTCCCTCTTTGCATCTTCCTTTTCAATTCCTTCATGTGGGAGCACGCTGGCACCAGGGAGAAGAAAGAGGAGCCCAACCCCTTACCAGCCTTCAATCTATAACAAGCATTCTCAAGGGAATTAAAACTGATTCTTAAAAGGAGAGGTGAAAAAAAAATCTTAACTCTTTTTTATGTATAAAGCACAGAACATATACAGCACATAAATAGATATATAGTATATCTGTGATATTAAAATTTCATGTGATTAAGGAAAAAAAATCTAGAAGACTACTAGGGAAGGCACTAATAAAAAAAAGGCTAAAAAATTCTGATCTGCATTCTTGGGCCTTGCCTTGTCTGATCCAAGAACTGGCCAGAACTCGGGGAAAGGAAGAACCAGGGAGAGTCTAGAGTCCAATCTCAGGATCCCTTCAAAGTATTTCCAAAGCCGGCTCCCCACCAACCAGTTACGGTCCTTTCCCCAAAACAGCCCTTCCTTCCCCCGTGCCTGAAAATCCCTCATTCTGTTTCTGTCATTCTTTCATCTCACCCTGTTGCTACTGAGGGCACAGGTCAGCTCTTCCCCATTCTCCCCCTGGGGCACCCCAGTTCCCAGGGCGTGAAAGACTCAAGGCGCCTCACCTCTACACCTTGGGCTAAGACATAGCCCTAGAGCTCCTGGAAGAACCCGGGAGGGAAGCCTGACCACAGGAGGCCCCCAGGAAGTGGGGCTACTGCTGTGGGACAAGCCTTGCTTTATTGGGGAAGGGATGGGATCACAAATAATCTCTACTTAGAAGTGTTCTAGGGCCATGGATTCATATAAGGGCGGGGCAGGGTGGACTGAAGATCTGTTGGCAGGGCTCACGGAGACGGGGGTGAGGGGAGAGATCGTGGGTTCGTGAGATCCCATCTTGGGCAATACGGTTATCCCGTGGTCTTCGTACGCCACAGAGTCCTCCAATTTCAGGGGTTCCCGTGGGATGGTAGAGCCAATGAAGACCAGGTAGATGATGCCACCTAGACAGGCACCCAGAAGTGGTGCCACCACTGGCACCCACCACCAGTTCTCCCCTTCACTGCAGGCAAGAGGCAGAGGCCTGCTTAGGGGGCTGATGCCCAGGACAGCACCCTCATCCACCTCGGCCCACGACAGATTGAGCAGAGGATTCATCCCCAGGCTACCCCAGGAAACATCCCCAACCCGGGGACCCGGTCAGCCTCAGCCCTATTCAGGGACAGGGTTGACACCCAGTGCAGGTGCAGGATCTGTATCTGTACTGGCCTGGGGAAATGTTGGGACTCACTCCTGCTCCCCAGGCCACCTGGGGGTTCAGCAGGACCCTACTGCGCTGCCCCTCACATCACCCGCCACCCCTCAACACACAAGGGAACCACAGAAAAACTCGAAGGAATGGGCCTGGGCAGGGGCAGTACCTGAAGACCTCTTTGCCCCAGCCAGCAATGAAGGTGAAGACGCGAGGGGGCAGGTCCCGGGACGGGTTGATGGCATATCCTGTGTTCATACCGAGGGACACCCCAATGATGACCACGAGGATGCCTATCACCAGCGCCTGTGTTCCTGGCAGTGCTGCGTTGTTCTCCTGGTCCGTGATGGCGAAGAGACACAGTTGGAGCATCCCGGTCAGCCACGCCTAAGGAGCAGATGCTGTGGCAGCTCACCTGGGCCGCTCCCCAAGCCACAGGACCTCAGCAGTGCCCCAGATCCAAGCCCACCAGCACAGATACGTCTCGGTACAGTCTCCATCCAGAGTTCTTGTCCTGTCTATCCGGAGGGGCTCCCTGCTGGCTCCGTCCTCAGGGGTGAAGGGCAGGGGAAGGGGTACTCATCCCGGACCACTGACCTCGTTCAGGAAGCCCCGCCACAGTGTCATGTGATCAGGAAGGTAGGTGGCAAAAATGCCAGCTGTAGCGACGGGACCGGTCACCATCAGCTGTCCACCCGAAAAGTGGAGAATGGCCGCTGCGGAGACACAGACTGTCGTGTGAACCTGCCCCCAGCTAAGCCCCACTGGGGTCCCAGAAATGAGGTTATAGGTTAGAGGGTGGGGGAGCTCCAGGGCTTTTTTCTCCCAGCTATTTTTACTAATCAGGACACTGAGGTCCAGTCTGCCCATATGTCATAGGAGGCGACTGAGGCCAGAGGCGGACACCTGGGCAGGACACTCACTGTAGAAGAGGGTGTAGATGGTGGCAGCTGCCAGGAAGGAGCCCAGGAACTGCCCCAGCACATAGACCGGAAACTTCCTCCAGGGCACACGGCCCAGTGCACAGTTAGCGAAGGTCACAGCTGCGTTCATGTGGGCCCCTGTGGGCAGCAGGCAAGTGTGTCAGGGAGGGAGAGCAAAACAAACAACAGTGACAAACAGTATTGAGAACAACGATGGCTAGTGTGTATAAGAGCGTGCTCCATGACAGAGCTCTCTCACTGAGCCCTCACAACCACCCAGTGAGGCCGGGGCCACCGTCTTCGTTTCACTGTTAAGGAAACTGAGGAACAGAGAAGGTGATGACTTGCCTAAGATGACCCAGCCAGTGAAAATGGTGGGTCAGGGGGACCCGGGAAGAATCTGGGGCAGACACATCATAGGCACGGGGTTCAGAGGAGACTTCCTCCTGCCCAGTGGCCAGGCTCAGGCACTGGTTGTGCCGGCGAAGGGGCTGACTGAGGCAGGCAGGAAAGAGCCTATTGGGGACACCTCGTCTTGCCCAGTCCGGCAGGGGCTGGGCTCACTCACCAGAGATGTGGCCTGCCACGTGCACTCCCATGGTGACTCCGAAGCCAAAACCCAAGTTGACACCAAGGTAGCTCCCATATTTTTTATTTAGAACCATATGGGCCACGGAACCAAGGCCGAACACCTACAAGGGAGGGCCACTAAGGGGGCTGCCTGCCCAGAAGCCCCAACCTCAGAGGAGGGCTCGGAGCTCAGTTCTAGCTCCTCACCCCCGTGCCCTGGGCCTCCCTGGCGTTGCCTCGAAAATCCTCTGCCACACCCTCTTCCCCCAGAGCCTTCCCTCCTTACTGCCTCCTCTCCTTGCCCCTGCTGAGGCCTCTCAGACCTGAGCCACTGAGAGCCAGGTGGAGCGGCAGTCAGAAGCTCTTACGACAGACATCCAAGCACCTCAGCTCCAGGCCTACCTGAAGTGACAGTGTGAAGTACCTGAGTAGGCTGGACAGCTGGATTGGTGCAGAAGTGGAGGGGTCCTCCAGGAAGGAGAGGACCCCACCCCAGCCAAGGGGTGATATGTGGATACATATGTGCTTAATGGGTCTGGTGGTGAGAGGGACAAGAGGGTGAGGTGAACACCACAGGAAGTGTTGATTATTTTACCTGTCAAGCAGCAGGTCAAGCCATTTGCTTATTTTAAAAAATAAAATAAAATAAATAAATAAATAAACAAATAAAGTCAGAGTACAGAGCAGATTTGGGGAAGTCTGAGAACATGTGAAATAGCCCAGATATGGTGGGGGAGAGGCAGTTGAGCAGGCCCCACTGGGTCCCTCAGAAGCCCCAGGACAGAAAGGGGGAACCCAGAGCTGGGCTGCCTTCAGATCCAAGATAACGTATAGCAGGGGAGGGCAGGAACAGATGTGGGTGCAGTGGGGAGTGAGGCCAGGACAGGTTGATAGGCTGGCGGGATAAGGAGGTAGAGGGACTGGAGCAGGCATGGAGGGTCTGAAAACAGGGGCCCCCATGGCCTTTCCCCCACTCCAATACCATGTGCTAAAAATACTGAATGAGCATAGGCCGGGTGTGGTGTAATCCCAGCACTTTGGGAGGCCGAGGCGGGCAGATCATGAGGTCAGGAGTTCAAGACCTGCCTGGCCAACATGGTGAAACCCCCATCTCTACTAAAGATACAAAAAATTAGCCAGGCGTGGTGGCACACACCTGTAATCCCAGCTACTCGGGAGGCTGAGGCAGGAGAATCGCTTGAACCCAAGAGGCAGAGCAGTGAGCCGAGATGGCGCCACTACACTCCAGCCTGGGCAACAGGGTGAGACTCGGTCTCAAAAAAAAAAAAAAATGGGTGAGCGAATGAACCCCACATGATTCCCTGTGTCAGGGTTGCCAACTGGCAAGTCATGCCCTAATTCATCCAGCACACAGGTTTTGTTTAGATAACTTGGTTTTGAAGAATAGAAGTTTCCGTCTCTCTTGAAAAATGAGCAGCTCAGGCAACACTGGCCTGCATTCCACCCTCCATGGCAACAGTCAGCTGGAGTGGCAGCAGCTACAGCCTCGCACAGATTGGCACTCAGCAGCCAGCCAAAGTCCCCACCGCCCTGAGTTGCCACTCTCTTGGCCCCTGTAGCATGTGATCTACAACCCTTGCCCCATGGCTCACGTGTACGGCTGGTTTTCCGGGGCCCGGATGGCTCCAGCCCCTCCTCTCCCTGATCAGTGAATGTGGCCCAGCCCATCCAAGTCTCCCCGACAGCCAGGAGGCCAGCTCCAAGGGCAACACCCCTGGAAGCTGCAACATGGATCAGTCCGCTTCCCTCGTCCCGGCTGCAGTAAATGGGGCCAAGGTCACACTAGCTTTTTGGCAAAACCTTCACCCTGGTGACTCACTGAAATTCCTATATATATATTTAAAAAAAAAAAAAAAGCCCTCACTTCTTGGCACAGCCTGGCAACTAAAAATAACAACAACACAATGTCCGACATAGGCTTACACCTCACAAAGTTCTTTTAAAGCGCTACTGTCTTCAATTCTCACAGCAAATCTGCACAGCAAGAATTTTTCTCCCACTCTATAGATGGGGAAACTGAGGCCGAGAGAGGCGTCTTGAACTACCTGAAAATGAGGACCTTACCCTGGCTGGGGGAGCATCGACAAGCCAGAGTCTTTAAAAGCTGGCCATATTTAAGCTAAGGGACAGAGCATAGAGGTTAAGGGTCAAGACTGTGATATTAGGCCAGGCACGGTGACTCATGCCTGTAATCTCAGCACTTTGGGTGGCCGAGGCGGGAGGATCACTTGAGGTCAGGAGTTCAAGACCAGCCTTGACAACATGGTGAAACCTCGTCCCTCCTAAAAATACAAAAATCGGCTGGGCATGGTGGCATGCACCTGTAATTCCAGCTACTCCGGAGGCTGAGGCACAAGAATCGCTTGAACCTGGGAGGTGGAGGTTGCAGTGAGCCGAGATCGCACCACTAGGACACAGCAAGACTGTATCTCAAAAAAAAAAAAAAAAAGACTGTGATATTAGACTGCACTGGATTTAATCTTGACTTAAAGTGTGACCTTGGGCAAGAGGCTTAGTCTCAAGGAGACTCAGTTTTCCCATCTGTGAAACTGGGATAATAATAGTACCTACTTCACAGGGCTATTGTGAGGATTTGGGAAGATGCTTCACGTAAGGTGCTTCCCATCACAGAGCCCGGGATGCGTTAGGTGCTCAATGAAAATCTCAATAAAAGGAAGAGAAACAGAGATGTGGGCAGGTATCAAGCATGTGGGCAGTGCCTATTTCCCTAACAGCTCTCAGAGGACGCACCCTCCTGCCTCCGAGGTTCCAAGGGTTAACAGCCCTCATGGGACTGGAATGTCTTGTGATAAGTGAATTACTTTGCCCTGGATTAAGGAGGGACAGGATCTAGCTGCTGTCCTCACAGCTCAGGAGCCAAAGCAGGTGGGGAGGTAAGAGAGGAGCAGGGGAGGGCCAGAGGCAGAGAGGAGAGAGCAGCTGAGAGCACCTGTCCTAATAACAAGAAACCAATACATGGGTACCACATGTGTACTGGGTGCTGAGACTTGGCATTCTTCACACAAGTCCTCCAGCTTGGTGTTAGTGTTCCTGTTAACCAATAAGGAAGCTAAAGCTGTGGGCCGGGCGAGGTGACTCACGCCAGCAATGCCAGCACTGTGGGAGGCCGAGGCAGGCAGATCACCTGAATTTAGGAGTTCGAGACCAGCCTGGCCAACCCAGGCTGAAACCCCATCTCTACTAAAAATAGAAAAATTAGCTGAGCACAGTGGTACGAGCCTGTAGTCCCAGCTACTCAGGAGGCTGAGGCAAGAGAGTCACGTGAGTATGGGAGGTGGAGGCTGCAGTGAGCCGAGATTGTGCCACTGCACTCCATCCTAGGAGACAGAGTGAGACCCTGTCTCAAAAACAAGAAAGGTAAATTTGTGAACAGTTAAGATACTTGTGGATGGTCACACAGCTAGAAGATAACAGAGCTAGGATTCAAACACAGCTCCAAAGCCCGTGAAGTCCTAATTCTACACAATATAAGTGAGAAGTCAGGCTTTAAGCCAGGGAGAGACCTGCCCAAGGCCAACCGGTGACTCACTGGCAGGGTCAGGCTAAGAACCCTGGTGTTCTGATTTCCTCTCTCCCTTGAGATCCATGGGCGCTACCACACACACAAACATTCTCTCTCACCCCACCTTCCTCTAGCATGCACCTGGCTGCCTTGGCTTCCCTTCCCAGAGGCTGCCCCTTCTTTTTCTAGACCTGGACCCTGCATAAGATGCAGTAAACATGGCTACAATCGTGTTAAGGGCAGAGGCTCGCTGTGGTAAGTGGCAGGGCTGAAGCAGGTGGAGAGGGAGCAACCTCACATCCCGCCTGCAGTCTGGATTCTGTCCCAGTCACACACTAAAGAAGAGCCCTTGTCAAGGTTACCAGCAGCCTCCACGTTGCCAAACCCTAAGGCCTCTTGCCAGTGCTCACCTTGCGTGGCCCATCTGCTGACAGCTTCTTCCTGGTGGAACCACTGCCCCCCTCTATCATGCAGTCTGCTCTGGGTCTCCTCCCACCTCTCTGACCATTCCTTCTCAGGCTCCTTTGCGTGCACCTCTTCATTCCTCAGGGCTCTGTCCTCAAACCATCCTTTTCTCTTTCTGTACACTCTCTCTGGACAATGTCGACAATCACCACCTGTGTTATGATGAACTTCAACTTTTTCCTTCCAGACCAAGCCTCTCCTGAGCTCCAGCCCCTTGCCTGTGTTTAACTATCTCCTGGATTTCCCCATGGGCATCTCGCCTCTCACCCTGTGCTGGGCCCCATGCCCCAGAACAGCTCATCAGCGCTTTGCCCACATCTTCTGCTGGCAGAGTCTCCCCAGTTCCATCTTCCACAGCCCTCTCAAACACGTGCTTTCTTCTCCAACCCCAGACCAGTCATCACCCTCTCTCTGTCCCAGATCAGAAACAGCCTCTTAAGTGGTTCCCTCTTGCCAGCCATGCCTGTCCTGCTTTTGCTCCACACTGCACCCAAAATTACCCTTAAAATCCAAATCTGATCATGTCACTCCCCTGCTTGCCAGCCTTCAACATCGCCCAGTGCCCTCTGGATTCATTCTCAGAGCCTGATCATCAAGTTTCTCTTCAATATCTCTCTTTCTTTTTTTTCTTTTTTATGAGACAGAGTCTCGCTCTGTCGCCCAGGCTGGAGTGCAGTGGCTGGATCTCAGCTCACTGCAAGCTCCGCCTCCCGGGTTCATGCCATTCTCCTGCCTCAGCCTCCCAAGTAGCTGGG